CACAACATTTCCACCACTCTGAAAAGAAGCTCTAGCCAGGGATTTAGCTTAGTGGTACCGCACCTGCCTTGCAAGCACAAGGTCCTAAGTTCAATCCCTGGTACCAAAAAAACCAAAAAACAAAAAAACTCTATATTTATTAACAGTCACTTCCTGTACAATACATGGCCTTTTGTGTCTGGCTTTAAAAAAAAAAAAAAACCTAGTATAATGTTTTCAAGGCTTATCCATCTTATACCATGTAGCAGATCTTCATTTTTTAAATTGCATGACAGATATTCCATCGTATAGATACACCATATTTTGTTTATTCATTTGTTAGTTGGTGAACATTGGTGTTATTTTCACTTTTTTGGCTGTTAATGAACAATGCTGTTATGAACATTTATGTGCAAGCTTTCAGGTGGAGATATGTTTTTAGCTTTCTGGAGTAAATGCTTATGACTGGATGGCTGGGCCGCATGGTAAGGCTGTTTACTTTTTTGAGGGACTGACAAAGTGTTTTCCAAAGTGTCTTCACCATTTTATAGTCCCACTAGCAATGTATGGAGAGATCTAATTTTTCATTTCCTCATCAATTCTCTTCACTATACTTCACTTTTACCATCTTTTTTATTATAGTCATTCTACTGGGCAGAATTGTAGCTCATTGTGGTTTTGATTTGTATTTCCCTTATGACTAATTATGTTGACCACCTTTTCTTGTGCTTTTGGCTATTTAAATATTTTTTTCTTTTAGAAACAGCCACTCAGATGCTTTGTCCATCATTTAATCATTTTTAATGGTTCAACTATAAGAGTTTTATATTCTGGCTATGAACCTCTTGCCAGACAGATGATTGCACATATTTTTGCTTATACTTTGGGTTGTCTTTCACTTTCTTGAGAGTGCCCTTTGAAGCACAAAAGTCCTCCCCCCATTAAGTTTATTTGTACATTTAAAGCAAACAATGCAATTACATTTATCATTGGGGTCTTGTACCTTTACATGATGTATCTTAGTTCTTATTTTTTTCCCATCTCCCTGCCCTCCCTTCACTCGCTTCACCTTTCCCTATTTACAAAGACTTTGTTTCCATTTTTTCCTTTTTCACATTTTTTCCTTATTTTCTTTCCCCTTTAGCCATTTTCTTCCTATTTCACCTATCAATTATACCATTTGAACCTTATTTACACTTTTAGTTTTTCACACCAGAGAAACTATTCAGTATTTACTCCTGTGTCCTATTTATTTCACTTAAAAGTATAGCCTCGATGTGCATCCATTTAGCTATAAATGTCTCTAGTTTCTCATTCTTTATGACTGAGTAGTACTCCATTTTATAGAAAAAACACATCTTTATCCAGTCTCCAATTGATGGGTATTTGGGTTTTTCCAGGTTTTAGCTATTACAAACTGTGCACATATATCACTGTGGTATGATTCTTTTAATTCTTTTGGAAAGATACCCAGTAGAGGAATAGCTGAGTCAAATGGAACCTCTAATCTTAGTTTGAGGTATCTCCATATTTATTTCCACAGTGGTTGCACCAGTCTGCACTCCCACCAATGGAGAAGTGTTTACAGCCCCAACAGCATTTGTTATTGGTTGATTTCTCGAGCAGCCACTCTTTCTGGGGTAAGGTGGAATTTCAGTGTTTTTTTCATCTGCATCTCTTGAATGACCAGTGATGGTGAACATTTTTTCATATATTTATTTGCTGCTTTTACTTGTTTTTCTGAGAAATGTCTATTCAGAAGCACAAAAGTTTTAAGATTTGATGAGGTTCAAATTTTTGTTGTTGTCATCACTTGTGTTTTCTATATCTCAGAGGTCATTGCCAGTTCAAAGATATATTCTTATGTTGTTCTCTAAGAGTTTTTTTTTTTTTGTTTTGGTATCGGGTATCAAACTCAGGTCCTTGAGCTTGCAAGGCAGGAGGTGGAACCACTGAGCTCAATCCCTGGGCCTCTCTAAGAGTTTTATAGTTTTATCTCTTATGTCTACGTACTTGATTTACTTCAGTGAATTTATGTATAGGGGGTGAGGTAAGGGTCAAACTTGATTCTTTTGAATATGGATATCCAATTGTCCCCAGCACCAGCTATCAAAAAGATTCTTTTCTTATTGGGATTTTGGCAACCTGTTAAAAAAGCAAGTGATCATAAATGTCAGGGTTTATTTCTGGACTTTCAATTACATTGAACTATATACATTCAGCCTTAAGCCAGTATGACACTGACTTAATTATTGTAGCTTTTATTCGGTTTTGAAATTAGAAATGTGAGTCCCGACCATTGCCAGCAGCAGTGAGCCACAGCTTCGAGTCACATACCTGACACAAAGGTGAGCACCCACCACTCTGCCACGCACTGCACTGCCCACCTTGCTGGTCAGGGGTCAAGGTAGTGCATTTTTGACTTACGATATTTTCAGTTCATGCTAAGTTTATCAGGGTGTTATCCCATTGTAAATCAAGGAACGACTGGCTGTGTTTCACTCCTTTTATCTATTTATTTATTTTATTTTATTTGCAACCCTCAGACTTGCTCCTTTTACATGCCTGAAAGATGTCTGTAGTTTTTATCTACAAATACAGCACTACTTGTGTTAAATTTACTCCTAAGAATTTTATTCTCTTTTATTCTACTGTAAATGGAACAAACATGTTTATCTTTGGGTTTTCATTGCTAGTGTTTGGCAATATTATTGTATAGCTTTTCTTTACTGTTAAAATATTATGAACATTTTTCAGTGCCAAAAATATGCTATTACATTTTAATGGCCTTTTAATATATCATGATGTGGAGATACAATAATTTACCAATTCCTAATGAACATTTAGGTTCATTTAAACTTTAAAAAAGCATGAATAGCTCTGCCATTAAATCTTTCAAACTTCCCCTAAATATTTCCTGGATATAAATCTCTACAATTGGGGCTGTTATGGTGTCATTTCCAAAGCACTAAAAAAACTGAACTTGAAATGTTTCCACTGCTACCAAGAATGTGATACTTGATTCCATGAATTATCTTCCACCTCCAGTTTTATTTTTTAAACTCTTTACCAGTTTGGTAGGTGAAAGATGAGTCTCATTGGCATTTTGCTTTGCACTTCAATCCCCAAGAAGGTCAAATTTTTAAAAACAAACATGTTTGTTAGATTTTTGTTTCTTTTTCTGTGAATTGCCTGTTTCTTTTTTCTCTTGGCCCTGAGTATTCAGCTTTTCTGTACTTGTGTAGAAGCCATATGCATTGAAACCATGAATCTTACGTCACTCATGGTATAACATTTCTCCCTTATTCATTTTCCGCTTTTGTTATGGTGCTGTTTTTTTTTCTTTTCTTTTCTTTTCTTTTTTTGGTTTTTTGAGACAGATCTCACTATGTAGTTGAGACTGACCTGGAACTCACTAGGTAGCCCAGGCTGGTCTTAAACTCACAGTGATCCTCTTGCCTCAGCCTCCCAAGTGCTGGGATTACAGGTGTGCACCACCACACCAGGCCTATTGCAGTGCTTTTTGATGTAAAAACTTTTGTATCAGTTTCCATGTAGCCAACCTGTGAATCTTTATCTTTTTCTTTAGATGTTATGCTTACAAATTCCTTTCCCTTTCCTTATTTTTGATACTGTTTTTTTTTTTCCTTTGGTTTTTGAGACAGGGTCTCACTGTGTGGTTGAGACTGACCTGGAACTCACTATGTAGCCCAGGTTGGTCTCGAACTCACAGTGATCCTCCTACCTCAGCCTCCCAAGTGCTGGGATTACAGGCATGCACCACCATGCCCAGCTCCCTTTCCTTATTTTTGAAGAATAAATAGGCACACTTCCTCCTGTAATGTACGTGACAATTTTCCCTCTTATCTTAGTAGCATTAGGCTGCTGGACATCATAGACATGCTATACTAGCATCAGCAGAAATTTATTCCTCATAGGATATTCAAGATCAAGGTGCCAACAGGTGCCCTGTCTGGTTGTTAGACGGCCGTCCTTTCACTGCAGTCTCATTTGGTGGAAGGTGCCGACCAGGGTGCTAATCCATTCACCACCCTCCTGACCTAACCTCCCAAGGGCCCCAGCTCCTGAAACCAGCTCCTTTGGGGCTAGGATTTCATTCAGCCTGTTCGTTTGAGAGGACGTGAACATCCAGACCTTAGTGAACTTCAAGCACAACCCTATATCCGTGCAGGGCAGCTCTTTCCTGTCTCCCCCAGTCCTGTCTCCTCTGGGACAGGTCCCCTGACCGACCCGACCCCAGCCACTACAGGTCTTCTAATTGCTTAGAGGGCCAGGTGTGGGTTTCTTTTGACCACGGGATCGGAGTACCTGACCAGCCCTATATGCAGGGTCATCAGGTCGGGCCAGCGTGACAGCTCCAGTATATCACACACCAGCTCCGAAATTTAGCAGACTGGGCATCTAAAGGATTTCCTCCAGGTACTCTGCCGAAGTGGCTAAGCACAACTCACACCATCGGCTGTCTTGTAAAAGTTGTGCGTTCCTCACCCCATCCCAGGAGCTCCGCAGTCCCCGGCTCCACAAGGACGCAGCGCCAAGGGGACAGAAATACCTGTCCGGGAAAGGCGCGTGAGCGTGTGGTGAAGTTCTGTTTGCATCTGCGGTTCCCGCAGGCCTCTTGGGTCAGGATCCGGAGGGGAGCAGCAGGAACCTTCTGCCCTGGGGGTGGGTGCGAAGGCCGGGCGCGCCTCTGCCTTGCCCTCCTGCCCGCGAGGTTTCCCTGCGCCGGGCGCCCTCAGAGAGGC